TTCAGCAGGCTGTTAAAGCAACAGCTTCCACTATACATAATATGATATTTTTCCTGTCGTATATCATTTTTTAAAACTAAAATAGTTATCAAACACAGGAATGCTTATTTTCCCAATCATGAAAATATGGACATGGACTCAGAATTGACCTTTTTTTTGTTACACTTCTGTCTGTTCCTGATTAATTTAGTGTATTAGGGAGCAAATTCTAAACTCTCCCTGAAGCCTCCACTACTATTAACTTAAAATTAGATTTATGTTGTATTCTCAGGCTGTCACATTTTTATCATATTAAAGTTAGAGCTATGCAATGACCTAGCAAGACTTTTCTAGAGCTTATTTGAGATGCCTTCATTCTTTATTGGGCATAAGGTGTTGGCTGCAGCGAAGGCTGAAGACTCTGACTGGGGTGTGCCAATACTCCTGCTGAGACTTACACCTGGAGGTTCCTTGCCTCTCCACTCAGAGTCAGACCAATCACTACATCTGGGGTCACGAAGGAATTTTACCCCATGGTCTGATTAGTATACACTATGGGGGTTTTTGCCTTTGTCTTTAAGTGGGGTATAGCCCTCTTCCTGGGATCTCTTGAGCATATATTAACAACCTTTACAGAAGTAGAACATTGGTTTTACCTGTAGCAGGTTAAGGTGTTGTGTTGTCATGTTCTGTGTTGTGTCAGAATTGACTGTATACTTTTGTTATGAGGACAAACACTAGATTTTTGTAAGATGGTTTGGATCGGGCTGTTCCTGCCTCAGGGAGGAGGTTAGACTAGATGACCTATGGAGGTTCTCCAGCCCTACTTTTCAATAGGTGCCTATAGGCATGCAGCAAGACTATTCCAACACACTGTAATCACAGCACATCGGAGTTGACTCAATTAATTGAGTCTGCTGGAGCATGGTAATCACTGCACTCCAGCAGACTTCAGAATCACATGTATCAATATCCCCATGCTGAAAAATGGCAGGGGCATTTTAACTAAAGCTTGTTTGATGAGCTTTAGTTAAAGCGCCCCCACAGCCATTTTTCAGCACAGGGACGTTGATACATGTGACGATCCAGGTGCTTTAATTAGAGCGACTCTCAGAGCCACTCTAATTAAAATGCCTGCTCCCCCTCCCCCCCTCCGCCCCCACTTCCTGGAGCATGTCTATAAATGCCCTATGGTTCTAGATGTACCAAAATAACTGTACATGGAATTACAGAATGTAATATCAGCCTACTTCTACAAAGACTATATTTAAAACTGGTTAGTTTTGTCTTAAATAACAGCATTACTTTCTTAGTAATATTAACCTATAATTACTAAGAATATGTAAGTAAGTATGTATTCCACATAGAGATATCTGGGGTTCTATTTTCATGTCATTCGATTTTAGGAAGCCTACCTTCTGCTGAATTGGCCTATCTGTATGGATTTATGATTTCTTTTACAAAGGCCCACCCATCTCATTTTTCTATCTGTTTCTATCCTTTTTCAGTCTACTTACATTGCTTGCTGAAAAGTCATAAAAGGGTCTGTAGTCCCAGTGCCCATTAATTTCTTTTTTCTGATCACTAGCGCTACCATTCAGTTCTATAGGAAGGCTTTTTCAGACCACCTCTGCTTTTCAGATGGTATTATTTTTGTGACACTGAGGCATGTTCAAGATTGTCAACCTGAAGGAGCTTCATACTCCGAGAACACAATTTTCTGAGTTAAATGAAAAAGATAAAATTCTAATCACTGTTCTGTCTCGGTTCTTGACAGAAATACCTGGTTTTTTAATCAAGTCTCACTTACTGATGAGGAATAAAGCTGTGTCTTGTTTTGGTTTGGGTTTTTTTTAACCTTATGAAAAGAAATAAGAAACAAAAGTCCAAGGCTGGGCAGGTATGCACTATGTTAGTGACATCATAATTAACTGCACAAGCAAAATTCTAGTGGCTAGTGATGTCAACTACCAGTGCATGGGAGATGCAGAAGGTGCCAGTGCAAGGGAGATGCATCTTTATTCCTAGCTTTCCTTCACTTGTATTTTCCCATATTAAATTGATTACATGTATTCAGATTATGATAATATTAAGTTGAACAATACTGTTAGTACATTAGTTTTACTTTCAGTTTTCCATATATGACTATTTCACTTCAAATCTAAGAATTGTTAGTTGCTGGCCTATTTTTCTTTCCTCTCATGCATTCTTAGTATGAGAGGTAAAACTTCTCTAAGAACATCAAGAAATCAAGTTTTTTGACTAACTGTTATTCTCATCATACCCTTACCTTTTATCTTTAATATTTTGTTTTGGAGTCCAGAATAGAAACATTTAACAATCTGAAAAGGCCACACACTGATTTTAGAAATATTTGATCAGCCCAGCTGTTACATTGCTGAAAAGTAGATATCTTTAGTGTTCAGTGTTAAGAATTTTCTTTCGATTTCTATGTGGACTATAGCCAGGAAAGAAATAATAGAATGAAGAAAATAAAGAAGCCTTGTCAGGAGCCATTCTCTTCTTTTTGTAGTCCTCCACTTAGTGGCTGTGTTGTGTCTAATGCTTCGTGCAGAGAGCATGCACCTGGCAACACTGAAAGCAATTTTCCTTCACCTATATCATTTTCTGTTCCTCCTGTGAGGAAGAACTCTCATAAAAGGATTAATTTACCCTCAAATGGATTAGACCTGGGATTTAAAAAGAAAACACCTCAAGAAATAAAAGGTCTTGTGAATACAGTTCAGCGAATGGTAAGTATGGTCTCCTTTCACATGTATAAATTTAACATCCTCTTTATGGAAACTTTTGTGTAGTGTTAAACTCGTTAAATGGAAAGAAAGTATCCCATTTCTGCAAAATACCAGAAATTGGGACATGTTTTTGTCTGCTTTGATACCAGGTAATCAAATTGCCTATGAATCATTCCCTATTTAAAATGTCTTACATTTTTGGTGCCAAGATAGTTTTCCATATAAAGCGACCAGTCCATCAGAAAGGACCATTTAGTCCTTTATATACCATGAAATTGTCTATCTAGTGGAAAATCTGTGACAACATTGCATTAAGGTGGAAAGATGAGTTAATCTATTATCTTTTTCTCTCATTTGTAGCAGCATGGTTCCTTTCCTTTTGCCCAGAAATTTTGCAAGTTTCAGACTTTTAAGTGAAGACTAGACTTAAAATCTAAGTGCAGCTGATTTGAAAAAGTGACAGCAAAGAATTGCTAACCTTTCAATTCCTGTTCTCTGTTTCAGACAAATTAATAGTCTTTGTGGGTTCAAATGCTACTTGATAACCAGCTTCTTCCTATGGAAGTCATGCTTTTTAATCTGAGAATCAGTGCATCTTTTATTAGGCTATTTAAAATGTAATCACATATAAGAATGATGTATTTTCCAACTGTCTACATATGATTTTGTGGATCTTTTCACTTGACTTCGCCTATCTAGGACCTTTAGTGTTGAAAGATATTTAACATTAAGGCCTATTTAACATTGCACATTCTTAAATTAAGCCTTCACATCGTCTTTATCCTCAGACCACAATAGCAAGTCCCTATTGTGATGTTAACCTGATCCACGCAAAGCATTTGCTGTGTGGTCATCTGTGCACGCATTCATTCTTGCACGTAAGTGCTCAAATGGCTGTCAATTATTGTTTAAAGTAGGAGCCAATACTGAGTTAGTCCAAACTGCTTTAGCCTGTTTGATTCAAAGGTGGATGGTACTAATATGTCATAAAGTCATAGAGAAGTAGGGCTGGAAGTGACCTCCATAGGTCACCTTATCCAACCCCCTACCTGAGGTAGTATCATCACTATCCAAACCATCTTACACAATCCATATTCTAAACTCTACGTAAGACTACAGTCAACCCTGACACAACACAGACCTGATACCCTAACCTGCCACAGGTAAAGCAGGGGAACCACAGCAGCCAATGTCCTGCTTCTATGAAATTTTCTCAATATATGCTCAAGAGATCCCAGGTTGAGGGTCATGCCCCACCGCTGCAGAGGAAGAGAAAAACCCTCACAACCTGTACTAATCTGACCATGGGGTAAAATTCCTTTCTGACCCCAAATATGGCAATTAGTCTGACCCTGACTGGAGGGCAAGACTTTCTAACCAGGAGCTAGAGAACACCTTGACTTCAGTGGAATTGGTCTTTGGTCCCAGCAGAAGCATTGGCATACCCAAGAAAATGGTTCAAAATAAAATAGTTTGGTTGTCCTTCCACTACTGCCCCATACTGAATAAATTAGTCTTTAGAACTTGAACCTATTGCTTCAGAATTTGTATGATAAACTTCTGAAGGCCATTGCACCTGAAATGCTTTTTAAGCAGTCTTAAAACTGCATCTCTTCAAAACAGATTAGCATGGCTAATATGTCTGTGCTTGATATAGCAAAATCAGTGGAATGTAAGTATTTTTGAAGAATTTACTTGTGTGGTCTTGCTGTTGTTATAAATTACTGGTAAGGTTGGTGAATCAAATCTGACCCTTCCTTAGAAATTACAGGGGAAAAAAATTAACCAGGTCTTGGATTTAATCAATACAAGTATATAAGCCCTGATTCAGCAAAGCTCATGGATTTACCTTAAGCATGTTCTTGAACTCAATTCCTGTTAATCACAGCTTAACTAATGTGCTAAACTTTACATTCCATTGAAGTCAAGGTGTTCCACATTGCCAAGGTTAATACCTTAATTAAATTCACCTATACAAAATACTATAGTGATATATTTCAGCTGTGCCTGAATCAGGACTATGAAATTGCAATTATGTGTACATTCTCAGTTGTATTCAAGAGTTTGTGCTCACAGTTTTGGAAAATGGTTTTTAAGTTTCAACCTATATTTACTTAAACTGTGATTTTTCTTTTGAAGATGCATTAGAAACACAGATGTGTTTGTAGTGTAACTTTGCCATTAAAATAGACCATACAAAAGATTATTTAATCCTATAATTGCAAGGTATATTTTTTTTATGGAACATGTATATAGAAGAAAAATACCAAAAAACTTTTGCTTAGGCAAATATGCAGAACCTATTTTATGCTAGTGAGAAGGGATGCTAAGGGAAATTATCTGATTCATTTTTCCAATATTGAAGTGTATAAAATGTTTTTGATTTAGATCAAAGAAGAGCACAGTGAAACACAAAAACAGCTCTCTCAAGAAAAGAGTGCCAGAGCTCTTCAAGAAGGTATTTTAAATAACCACCTTCGGAGGCAGAAGGAAATGGAAAAAGGAACAAGAATAATGATAGCTAAGAGTTCAGAAGTAAGTGGTTTTCTGTTCACTTCAAGTAAAATTACACTATATTTATACTAGGTAAGAGTGATATTGTAGCCGTGATGATCCAGAAATTATGTGAGAAGCAAGGTTTCTTAAGGTGATATCTTTTATTGGACCAGTTACATAGTTGAGATAGAGTTAGACAGATTTTTTAATTCAAGACATTCTTCCTCAGGTCTATATTTATAATGAGAGTAAACAGAAGGGTTGGGGGAGGGGGAAGGGGAAGGAGTTGGTTTGGTTTGGGTTTGGGTTTGGGGTTTGTTTGCTTTTTGGCTTGGTTTGTTTGGGGTTTTTTGCTCATGGCATTGACTTTAAATGACAAAATATTTTCCAGAGTATTTTGTTTATGAATATGAAATAGGTTTGCAAACCCTTTTTTTTTTCTTTTCACTCCCAGCTTTACAATCAAGGATTTGATAGATACTGCTCTCTAGAACATAATAAAGTGTACTTATTTTGAAACATAGGTGACATTTTCTCATCAAATTCTTCAGTTTTCTACTTGAAAATTATTTTAAAAACAAAATATTTTCTGTTGTTCTAATTGCTTTCAACTTGTTGAGAGTGAAGAGCAAATTAAACTGAAATATTGATCTGGCTTCTTTTCTGTAAAGTATTATGGACATATTATTTGAAATTTCTGTTGCTATTTCCTGGAAAAATCATGAAGCAGGTCCTCAAGGAATCCATTTTTAAGTACTTGGAGGAGAAGAAGGTGATTAGTAGGGCTGTGCAAAGCTTCGGTCCCTGATTCAATTTGGCAGAGATTTGGCCTGATTCAGTGGCCAAATCTTTGGATCCGAATCCAAATCGAACCCCTTAATCTCTCTGAATTGAATCAGAACCCTCCAAATTGATTCGGAGAGATTCAGCGATTCGGACATAGACACAGCTTTAAATGTTTTTTCTACATACCTCAAGGTACCAGGTGGCTCGTGAATGCTGTGATGGTGGGGCAGATGAAGCATCCCACAGGAGCATGGGGAGCTCTCCAACGCACTTGGCAGCAGACCCAGAAGTGGACCAGAAGCACTTCCGGTCCACTTCTAGGTCCACTGGGCAGCGCAATGGGGGGGCACACCCGGCTCGGGAACTGGTACCTCCTGGGTCTGGGGGGGCACCTGGGGTCCCCCTGTGGCCAATTGCCGAGCTGGGAGGCTGCAGGGGGGCCCCCCATGTGCTTGGTGGCGGACCCAGAAGTGGACCAGAAGTACTTCCGGTCTATTTCCAGGTTTGCTGACAAGCACACGTCCCCCACCCCCCACACTCCTGTGGGATGCTCTATCCACCCCAACATCACAACGTTCATGAGCCATGCGTGGTACCTCAAAGTATGTAGAAAAAACATTTAAAGCTGTGTCTATGATCGAATCGCTGATTCTCCAAATCAGCATCAAATCTTCAGATTCAGATTTGGCCGAATTGAATTGGGGGCAGTGATCTCAATCAATGAATCAAATCACTGTCCCCAATTCAAGCTGAATCCAAATCCAAATTGAATACGGTCCATTTTGCACACACTGAATGATTAGGAACAATCAGCATGGATTCACCAATGGCAAGTCATGCCTGATCAACCTGATTGCCTTCTATGATGAGGTGACTGGCTCTGTGGATGCAGGGAAACCAGTGGGGCTAGAGACAGACATTATACATAAACTGGTTTAAGTGATCAGAAACTGGTTTATACCTGTAACAGAACAGACATTCAGTGCACATAAAACAGTTTGAAAATGGCTGAAAGCAGTTTGAGATAAACCTGGTTGAATGTAGTATCAGACTTAATTGATTTGGGTTAAAGCAGATTATGCAATGTCCGTCCCAGACCCCTTGCTGGTTTAAGATAAACCAGACTTCCCCAGCATCCCGACATGCTCTCTGGGCTGGGCAGAGCTGTCTGCTCCACAGCAGAGCTGGCCCCTCCTCTCTGCTCCTTGGCTGCAGTTCCAGCAGAGATTTGCAGGCACAGCAGGGTCTGCTGGCTTCCCCTCCCTCTCCCCACTCACTGCTTAAGCAGAGATCCCTTCCTCTAATCTCCCAAAACATGGACCCTAGCCAGCATGTGGAATGCTAGCTAATGCTGTGTAAGGCAGACAGGACAGCGTCCACTTAGGGCTTTCTGGAGCTCATCTGGTAACGTCCCTGCATTCCTTCCTTTGGAAAAAGCTGTTTAAGAAGAACTTGAAGTAATGAGCAAGGCTTTGTTTTGTGATGGGGTGCTACATGCTGATAACAGAGCTGATAAATGCTCTGTTATCAAGGGGGGGACCCCTCCAGCAATCAGAGATCTTGCCAGGGCCTGGCCATGCCCCCCTCAGCTCTGCCCTGTGGAAGGGAAGGAAGGGCGGCTCTAGTGCCCCCTGGCTTCTAGCCTGAGCCACTACAGGCATGTGTCAGCATTTTTTCAGTCCAGAGGGAATGTCTGTACAGTTACAAAGTGATTTAGCCTAGCCAGGTTAGACTAACCTACAAAGGTTGAATCGATACAGGCTCAGGCTTTTTTAATGTCTGTCTCTAGCCTGGATGTGGTATAACTTGATTTTAGCAAGGCTTTTGATACAGTCTCCCACAACAGTATCACAGGCAAGCTGAGGAAGTATAGGCTGGATGAATGGACTGTAACATGGATAGAAAACTGGCTGGAGCATCAGGCTCAGAGAATTGTAATCAATGTCTCAATGTCTAGTTGGCAGCTGGTATCAAGTGGAATTCCCCAGGGGTCAGTCCTGGGGCCAGTTTTGTTCAATATCTTCATCAGTGACCTGGAAGATGGCATAGAGTGCACCCTCAGCAAGCTTGCAGATGACACCAGCTAGGGGCAGTAGTAGATATGCTGGAGAGTAGGGCTAGGATTCAGAGTGACCTAGACAAATTGGAGGATTGGGCCAAAAATCACATGAGGTTCAATAAGGACAAGTGCAAAGTCAAGCACTTAGGATGGAACATCCCTTGCAGCAGTACAGGCTGGGGGCTAACTGCCTGGGCAGCAGCTCTGCAGAAAAAAATCTGAGGGCTACAATGGACAGTAAGCTGAATATGAGCCAACATTGTGCCTTTGCTGCCAAGAAGGCTAATGATATATTGGGCTGCACTAGTAAGTTGCCATCAGGTCAAGAGAAGTAATTGTTCTATTCTATTCAGTGCTGGTGAGGCCACATCTGGAGTAGTGTGTTCAGTTTTGGGCCACCCACTACAAAAAGGATGTGGACAAATTGGAAAGAATCCAGTGGAGGGCAACAAAAATGGTTTGGGGTCTGGGGCACATGACTTATGAGGAGAAGCTGAGGGAACTAGGCTTATTTAGATTGGACAAGAGGAGACTGAGAGGGGATTTAATATCAGCCTTCAACTACCTGAAGGGAGGTTCAAAACAGTATGGAGCCAAACTGTTCTTAGTGGTGACAGATGACAGAACAAGGAGCAATGGTATAAAGTTCCAACAAGGGAAGTTTAGGTAGATATTAGGAAGAATTTTCTCACTAGCAGAGTAGCAAAACACTGGAACAGGTTACCCAGAGAGGTTGTAGACTCTTAATCATTGGAGGTTTTCAAGACCTGGATAGACAAAGCCTTGACTGGGATGATCTAGTTGGGGATGATTTTGCTTGGAGCAGACGGTTGAATTAGATGACCTCCAGAGGTCCCTTCCAACCCTTATTTTCTATGATTTTATGATTCCTTGGTTTATTGATAGCACTGTGTAAAGCAGAAAGTGCACACCTTTTGCAGAAGGTTTTAAATTTAACAAATTTGTTATGGAAGACACTGAGACAAAATAAAGCAGCTTTCTAAAATTCCCTTTTTTAAGGTAACTTTTGATCGTTTATTAATGAGATTATACAAAGTATCCTTCAGACTCACAGGAAAAAAAACTGTTTGGCACACATTATAATTTTGAGTGATGGCATGATTTCTGCTCATGATGCTTGTTTTGAATTAGACTATTTAGTGAAGGAAGACCAACTGATAGTGATGACTTTGCTAACCTACACAGCTAAAAGGAAATGAAGGGAATGAGAATCAGTTTCATTAACAAAACGTATCTACTACCTTTGATGCAAGAGGCGACAAATCTTATTAACAATATATAACATGTACACTCATCCTGAAAAAACAGGTTCTGGTCTATTACTGCATCATTTGAAAGTCTGATAATTGAGGAATTCTTTGTCAGATAGCCCAAAATGCTCTGTACCATGGATAAATATCCCTACACAAAACCTAAGTAAATATTCAGGTGGAAAGTGTGTAAGAGTGTTATGCTGACTGAAGGACTAGAGGTTACATACTAAAACTTCCAAATCTGGGGTAAGAAACAGAAGAAATAATTAACATTTTTCAGACTTTTAATATTCAAAATTAAAAGGAAAGTATATTCAAATAGAAATAATTAAAGAAAAGAAAAACAGTAAATAAAGATTAAATTGAAATACAGAACTAAAGAAATGGGAGATACAAGTTTTTTCCTGATTCTGCCAGGGGGATAGCAACCATGAAGCATATTTTTAAGGAAGTTTTAAATCCTTCAATTGTTGGTTTTTAAAAAAAGCCAGGAATGAGATTTACTGCTTTGGTTGGGGTGACATTTTATAGTTCTGAAATATGTATTTATTGGAAGATAGCATGAGTTCAAAATCTTTTCGGTAAATTAGATTGTAGTTTATAGCTAAGCTGTTTCATAAGTCATTCTTTGTTATTAAAATATCAAAATGCTTTTTCATGTTTTATGCTTTAAATATATATTCATTATTTATCCTGTACATCCTTGTTTTGTGTTCTCAATTACTTAGGTACCTGACAACCATGTCAGAGAAAAGGATTTGTTACACAAAAATCAGATGCTGCAAAATGAAATTGCTATTCTAAGACTGGAACTTGATCAGATAAGAATTCGGCACCAGGAGGAAGAAACTAAATATTTGAAAGAAAATGTGGCCTTGAAAGAAAAAAATGAAGGTCTTAAAAATGAACTAGACCTAAATGAGGAAGCTCTAACACAAACGGTTTTTCAGTACAATGGACAGCTGAATGTATTAAAGACAGAATCTACAATGCTGACCTCCAAAATAGAGCAGACGAAAGAAAACAAAGATAGGCTAGAAACAGAGCTTGAATCATTTCGTTCTCGTTTGAACTCCGCTGTTCAAGAACTTGAACGTTGTCAAGCATCAAAAAGTGATGTTGAGCAGATGTTGCAAAGAGAGCATGATGAGTGGCTTCATTTACAAGACAAGTTCAGTCATGACCTCTCAAATCTGCAAGAGACCAACAATAACTTGTCTCAACAGCTTAATAAGGCTGAAAACAAAATTAATAGTTTAGAAAATGAACTTCATCAAGTAATGCAAACTCTTAAAGAAAAAACCTTCCTTTTAGAGAGTACTCAAAGGGAACTAAACCAGGCACAGTGTCAGGCAAAGGAACATGATCATGCTCAACAAATGGAAAAGGACCAGATAAACAAATATATTGTAAAACAGGAAGCAATGCAAGAACGATTGGCTCAGCTCCAAAGTGAAAACCTTTTATTCCGGCAGCAACTGGAAGATGTGCAAAGTAAAGGGATCATCAAAGAGAAAGTAGTGAGTGATATCCAAGACAGATTTAATGATATTTCCAATAAGCTTAGAGCTGATACAGAAAAACAAGTGCATATGATAGAAGAAAGAAATCACAAGTTAATCACCAAATGCAATAATTTAAAAGAGCAAGTCTTTAAATATGAAACTGAGAAAGTTGAAAGAGAGGTAAGTATAAACATTTCAAAAAAATATTTGAACTTTATTCACCAAGTTCCTTTGTTTTGAACTATGCTCTTTGGGAAAAGTAATGATGCTAACTTATTTACACAGAAATATACTGTCTATTTTTCTGTCCTGGGGGCCTCCTGGGGCTGCAGCCATAGCAGTTCCTCTGTGTAGAACCTGACTGGCAGTGGGCCAGGCTGGACCAGGCCGGCTCCACTTTTCAGTAGCATGCGCTGGCCGAGTGTGCATTGCTCCAGGATTTTTTCTGTGGGTTTTCTTTGACCCCTGGATATCCAGGGGAAACAAGTGAGAAAGAGGAGTATTAAAGAATATGTGTAAGCAACAGAGCAAGAAAAAAAGAGGTTTAACACAAGGCACAGTACATAAGGGATTGAGCTGAGTGGATACAACCAAGAGTAGTTTTAGGTATAGTTTGTAATTTTCTGGCAGAACAGTGATTTTGATATTGGCAATATCCCTTTGGACTATTTTCTCATTTTTCTTATCCTTTTGTAATATAAAATCTAAAGCCCCATCTACACATTACACTTAAGGCATGATTAACCACTTAATCACACCTTAAATGGTCACCCAGCCACACTTTCAGTCAATTAACGGCATAATAAAAAGAGGAATAAGCTACAAATTTATAACACAAATATGCATTGGCAACATGTAGGGGGTGCATGCGGGTGCACGTGCACCCCCTGAGATTGGCCGTGCACCCCCTGGAAGCACCAGCTGCAAAACCGGAAGTGCTGATGGAAGTGCACCTCCAGTTTTGCCAGTTTGGCCACTGGTGGTTCCGTGCTCAGCCGCTGCCCCCGCCTACCCCTCACCCCATCTACAACCAGCCACAGGGTTCCCCCCGTCAGTGATCGGCCATGGGGGGGCCTCCCCACATTGGCGATCTGGTGCTCCCCCAGACTCAGGAGGCACCAGTCACCCATGAAAATATGTGTAATAACTTTGTAACTGCTTCGTATCATGCATGCAGAGATGACCATAGCAGGGTGCGGGGTGCAGGGAAAATCAGCCTGTGCAGGACCCAGATGTGAAGAAGCTGGCAGCGGAGGGGAGGGGTGGTAAGCAGACAGATGCAAAGCTGGTGGCAGTGGCAGCAGCAAGGAGTCACCAGCACTAGGCAGGGCCTGCACAAGGGGCCATAGCCACTCTGCCCAGCTCCATGGGGCCCCCCAAAGCACGGGGCCTGGGGCAGTCGCCCTGCATGCATGCTATTAATTGAACATGTGGCCATGTCTGGGAGCTCCGCCAGCTGTTCAGAGCTCCCAGCTGTGGGGGCCATGTGCACTCCTGAGCCTGGGAGCTCCCGGCTGACAGGGCTTCCAGCTGCAGTGTGTATAGGGTTACCACGGCTGGGAGATCACAGCTGCTGCTGTCTCCCAGCTGCAGAGTGCTAGGAGCCCTCCTTGTGGCTGGGAAATTGCAACAACTACAGTCTTCCAGCTGCAGGGGTGTCTGAAGCCCACCTGCAGCTGGGAGCCTGGGTCAGCTGATGGGGCTCCCACATGCAGAAGCGCATAGCAATAAGGTGTGATGGGATCTAATGTACAACCCACACAATTGCACACCCCACACAATTGCCCCTCCTGCCATACATGTGTTATGGCAGGAGGCATTATTGTATGGATCATGCATTAGATTCCATTGTGCCTTTGCCTGCATGTTCAGAGGGGCCCAAAAAATCATCCATTCTTAAGTAGCTTGCTGCCATAGGTTGTGGTAGTTGGGGTAAATTTCCAGCTATTCTGGAAATAGACAAAGGTGCTTTACAGAGATGTATAGCATAAGCTATATGTAGGCAGAGGGCTTACTTCATAGGTTGTAGTGCCACTTGGAATCTGCATTGATACTGTGAAGTTGCATTCTGTTACTTATATCATGATTCCAGATTTTGAGCATGTCAAATATGTGAAAGCGCTGCCTAATGGGCCATTTGTCAGGTCTAATTCAAAAGACCCAGAACAATTAACCCCTAGCTAGATTTTCAGTCACTTTATCTTGGAGTCTCTCTGGTTGTTGTGGTGGTGGTGGTTGTTGTTACTTCATGTTAACTTGTCACAATAATCAGTTCCTTCAAAAGATTTTAAAAATAATCTGAGTGGCCACTTTTGTCCAGTCTGACTGTCAGTACAGAAAGTTCTATGTTACTTCAAAATAAGTTTCTTGGGAAACCTAAGAATGGTATTTTTATGTGGCATGTACTTTTCTAAAGGTAGCTCAGAAGGGCTTAAACATTACTGCCCCTTCTGTGACCCATAATGTGGGAGAAAACCTAAAGAAAGGAACTGTTGAGAGAATGCACATATAAGGCAGCAATAAACCAAAAAGGTCATTTTTCTGAACACTGAATAGTCCTGCAATGTGTCTTAGCAGGGAATATACTAATGATATGGTGTTTGGTTTAGAAAACATTTTTCTCAAGTGCTATTTTTTTTAACTTAATACCAAAAACCCCAAAGATGCATTCAGTAAATTTCCTAGGAAGACTAAAATGTTTAGCTCATTTTAACCTCTCAAGAAATTACAGTCTTCGTAAGCTGGCACCAGTTGTCCAGCTGCTTCTTACTGACTAAAGTGGGTGAAGTCGTCTGCTGCTATTACAGGGCCTCTCTAGCAGTTACAATCATTTAGCATTTAATGCACTCCTAAACAAGTCAGTTGTGGGTTTTATTTCAGCTCACAGGTTTTATATCCTGATCTAGCCTCTTCATACTAATTTATGTATCCTTTCTCAATACTAACCTGAAGATATTTCATTAGGGGATGGTAAGACAACTGCAGCAAGAACTTGCTGATGCTCTTAAAAAACAATCAATACCAGAAGCTTCACTGGATGCTGAAACACGTTATCAAAACAACTTAGAAAAAGACAAAGTGCACTTCCAAAAAGAAATTAATGGAATTAAATCCAAGGTATGCCAGTGCTAGACAAACTAATAGATCTGTAGTTGGTTTGCTTTTGCAAATAATGGAAGTCACAGAATATTCTGATTGTTTTAAGAATATTATTTAATAGAATTGGCTTCCTGTATTAGGTTAGATTATGTTGTCGTAAACAGAAAGGACTGTATTATATCTCAATCCATAAAACTAATGAAGTTTCTCTGTGTAAAGTTTCACTTCACAGAATGCACAATATTCTTGTACTTGAAACATCAAAATCACAATAAAAATGCTCATTTCAATTGCAACTAGAGTATTACACATTTTCTTAACAATCCCATGCCAATTTGGTAACCATGCCAATTTGATGTTAATGGCATAAGGGGTGCAAATCATTTTTCCTCCAGTTGCTGCTTTGTAGTGAAAGAAGTTATGCTCGTGCTAGAAACAGCATTTATGAGCTTTGAAGGGACTCTAAAACTTGTCTAAAGATGTTTGGTTATAAAAGATCCCACAACACTTGGAGCCAAGAAAATACAGAAAAAAAATAGAACAGTCATTAGTAAACAAACAGTAAATTAATAACTTTAACAACATTGAATATCACCTGTATCTCCCTCCTACCCATGAATGTATATTTAACATAGCTTAAAACAAAACGCCACAATTTTAAATTATGTTCCAATACCTTTGTCAGGAATGTAAGATTCTGCTCCCTTTAGGACGTGTCTACATGTCACCCTACAGCATCATAGCGATGTGCCATGGTGCCGTATGGCGTAGTAAAGAGATGTAGCAATCACATGGGTCTACATGTTATTGGCAGCTACATCGCCATAGTGGTGAAATCTAACTGTGCACCACGCACATGACACAGTAACCACCCATACTGCACTGTGGTTTACTTCTCCAAAAGGAAGTAGTAAAGCACAGAGCCATAGCAATGTTGCTATATGGCAATATGTAGACACACCCTTCTATCCACAAAAGGTAAATGTCAACTGTCATTAAATTATATTATATCTAGTAATACGTATGTATTTTTCTTTTTGAAAGTTTGAAAGTGAAAGGAAAAAGGTGAAGAAGCTAGTAGAGCTAAAACAATCGGTGGAAGCCCAGCTGGATCAAGAGATGAAAAGAAACAGTGAACTGCAAAAAAAGTATTATGAGTAGGGGTCCTTGATCACTTTTAAAAGTATTAAGAGTGAACTAAAATTTGACTTGATCCAGTTTGCTTCATTTTAACTGAAAAAAGTTGTACATTACCATGTACATACTGTTAATGCTCAACTCTTAGATCTTAAAAATTGTTTATTTAATGATACATCTTTATACTGTATTTATTCATATACCACATGCACAGCATGCCTGACAATTAGCCCTCCAAAATCGGGTACATGTCTTAAATGAGGAAGCTGATTTCTATACTGGAATGGAAGCATGGGGATGCTGGAAGGGCTGCTGGGAGATGGCTCTACTGGGCTCTTTGCTACATAGAAGACTGATCAAATCCACTTGTCAGTGTCACTCACCCTCTCACAGAAGGTCCAAAATTAGAGGTTTAACCCTCTCAGCCTTGAGCAGCCAAAATCTACTGGCAATTTGGCAGTGGCTATGAAAAGTTTGAGTGTTTAGCTGTAAAGCTGTAGCGAGAAGGTGAGTGCCTCTGAATGGACTCTGCCCCTCCTCCATGTGGCCAGCATTCAGCCCAGGGTGGAAAGCCCAGTCTGTGGGAAGTAAGATTCTGAAAAAATCTTTTTTTCTTCATTCTGCCTTCCCAAAATAATGCGTGTGATTTATCTGGGGTGTGTAGTATGCAAGTAAATGTCCACTTATACAGCAGAGTGCCCAATTACAGAATAGTGTAAAATGCATTGGGCTGATCTATTGTGCCATGCAGTTCTCTCTCTGATAGGAAAGCACAGAGCACATGACTCTCTATACCTGCATACAGACATCCAGTATTGTTTAATATCCTCATTAATGATCTGAACTATGGGACTGAGTGCATTCTTAGCAAATTTATGAATGAAACCAAGTTGGATGGAGTTGCAGACAGTCTGGAGGCTAGAGCTGTGATCCAGAATTACCTGGATAAACTGGAGAAATAGTCTGCACTCAATCAAATGAAATTCACTAGGGACAAGTACAAAGTCCTCCCTTTGGAACTGAATAATTGAATGCACAAATGCAGACTGGGAAATGATTAACTAGGCTACAGTACTGCAGAGAAGGACCTGCAAGTTACAGCAGACCATAAGTAAGCCAACAGTGTGCTCTCCCTGCAAAAAGGCCAACACCATAGTGGATTGTATCAACAGCAGTGTCTCTTGCAGATGAAAGAAAGTAATTCTTCCTCTCTGTTCAGTCCTGGTGAGGCCTTACCTGGAGCATTGTGTGCAGTTTTGGGCCCCACATTTCAAGAAGAATATGACCAGATGGGAAAGTCCATCAGAAAGCAACAAAAATTATTAGGGACCTGGGAAGCACAATTTTTAAGGAATGGCTGAAAGAACTAGGGTTGTCTAGTTTGGAGAAGAGAAGATTGAGGGGGGATCTGATAACAGTATTTAAATACCTAAAGAGCAATTATAGAGAGGATTAGTTTATTTGTCTTTCCATTGTATTTGCTATGCAGAATCAAGAAACTTCTAAAAACAGATAAGAAGAATTTAAAAGAATATGAGACTACAGAAACTGAGTCGCAGTTTAGTTTCCAAGGAGAATTGAAGAACAAATATTCTGAAATGGATAGTGAAGTTAGTAGATTAAGAACAAAGGTAGGTTCTGTTGCTAGAAATTTGACACTCTATCTCCCTTGTAGAACTGTGGCTATATTATAATCGTGTTTTTGTTCTTATAGAAGGCAGGGTAGATTCGCACCCTCAACCTGCCTTCTTCCTGACTTTAGAGTAACACGGTTACCTACCTCTCTTGGTTCGTATAGCTATTGACTTTAAAGAAAACTTTCAAGTAGCTGATGTGTCCTTCTGTTGAGCCACTAATATATTGTGAACAGAAGTTTCTTTTAAGGAAGAGGTATGACTGAAAGGTACATAATAATACAATCTCCCCATATGTTGCCTCTGCAACTCTAGTAGAAGATAAATAAGAAATGTAGACTTACTGTAAGTACAGCTTTCAAAGAAGGATTATGGGTAAATATTTTTCACATGGATGGCTTTATCTGTACTGAATACTGAATGGCTAATTTGTTTACAACAGAATTAATAATATAATATTAATACAATGGTAAATTATTTGCTGTATAAATGTGGCTGTATTCAAGACTACATTTTATAGCCTTGCCTTTTCACATATTAGTGTTCCAATACAATCTCTGTTAGGGAATCCACAATCAATCCTTGAGTCAGCAGAAAAGGTGGTCCATAGGCTATGGAATTTACTGTATTTTCTCATATACCACACACCCCAAATAAGTTATTTATTTTTAAATGGCAGAATGAACAAAAAAAATCTTTCCCTGAGAATAATGGTAAATACAGTATTTTCCCAGGGAACAGAGGCAGCTGCAGTAGGATAGGAGAAAAACATTGGGGCTGCTCTGCTGCTGTACTCTACCATAGCCGCAGGATGAGGCAGGCGCTTCTGGCTGAGTCAAATTGACCAGACCCTCTTCTCTTCTCAAACTGAGCACCTGCCAGGTCAGCTGAGTACCCAGTCCTAGGCAGCAGCACCTCTAGAGTTTCATAGTTTCATAGTTTCATAGTTTTAGGGTCGGAAGGGACCTAATAGATCTTCTAGCCCGCCCCCCCGCCAGGGCGGGAGAACAACAAAAGAACCCTAAACAAAAAACGGGACAAAAAGGAGTCCGGCCAGGTGGGTATCCAGCCTCTTCTTAAAGATCCCCAGGGTAGGGGCCAGCACCACCTCCCTTGGAAGTTGGTTCCAGCTCCTAGCCGCCCTAACTGTGAAGTAGTTTTTTCGGATGTCCAATCTGTACCTCCTCTCCATCAACTTGTGCCCATTACTCCTTGTTATGCCAGCGGGGGCTAGGGGAAACAGCGTCTCCCCCAAACCCTTCTGGTTCCCCCTAGTGAGTTTATAGACGGTCACCAGGTCCCCCCTCAGCCTTCTCTTGTGGAGGCTGAATAGGTTCAAGTCCCGCAGTCTCTCACTGTAGGGTCTGCCCTGTTGTCCCCAGATCATGCGGGTGGCCCTCCTCTGGACCCTCTCCATGTTGTCCACATCCCTCCTGAAGTGGGGCGCACAGAACTGGACACAATACTCCAGCTGCGGCCTGACCAGCGTCGCATAGAGGGGGAGGATCACCTCCCTGGCTCCACTCGAGATGCACCTGTGGATGCACGACAAGGTCCGGTTAGCCCTGCCAACCATGACCTCACATTGTCGGCCCATGTTCATCTTGGAGTCAATAATGACACCAAGAACCCTTTCCGCCTCCGTGCTCTCAAGTAGGGAGTTCCCCATCGTATAAGTGTGCTGCTGGTTCCTACTACCCAAGTGCAGCACCCTGCACTTGTCCGTATTGAAACACGGAGTCTTAAGTAACCATATGAGAAATTTTCTAATAGATCTATTTTTAAAGAACGTTTAAACTAGTTTTTGTTTATTTCCCATATAAAACTTCTGGATTGTAAAAAACAATATTATTGATATTTTTCACTGACTTCCACAGAATTTAGAAGATTTTGAATTCCATTTGATAGTTTGATAGTTTGTTTTTTTTTCAATGTGTGCAGGTAGAGGAGCTATCCCAACAGCTGGAGATAGAATCAAAAAAATCTATGCAGTTAGAACGCACAAATCATGATCTGCAAGAACAGTTGTCTTCTATGAAGATACTAATTAAGAATCATGAAAAGCTGCAGAAGAATAAATGGCAGCTGGAGGAAGAAGTTGCAAACCTCAAATGCCAAGTAGAAATGAATATGATGAAACACAATCAAATAGAACAATATAAAAGAGAGATTGAAGAGCGAGCCAGACAAGAAATGAGAGAAAAACTAGGAGAAGTCAATTTATTTTTGCAGGTTAATATAGTTACTACTTGGTATTTCATATAAGCTTTGTGTTCATTTTACATTCATTTTATAGCTGAAAACATTATTTTAGATGTTTCTAGTATAGTAATTGGGGAACTGGAGACAGATGAAAAGGAAAAAATACAAAGAAAAGAAAATGTGGGCACAATCTTTGATTCCTTTCCTATAGTGCCATCCCACACTTTTATTTTTTACCATGGAAATGAGTCCCAGCCTTTCTACCATGAAGAGGAATAGTATTTTAAAGCCTTAGCAAATAACGTTTTTGTTCTCTGTGGGTACGTCTACACATTGCTGTACAGCAACATCGCTACAGCACCATGCTTTAGTGCTTCGTTTTGGGCAGTAACTGCCTATACTGTGCCATAAGCACAGCGCATGGTTAGAGCCATTACAGCGATGTAGCTGCCAATCATGTGTAGACCCATGTGATTGCTATGTCACCATAGTGTGCTGTACAGCAACATAGCACATTGCTATGTTGCCATAGGGCAACATGTTGACATGCCCTATATTTATTTTGTAGACCAAAATAAGCTTCCCTCCTCCCCTATTCTTTTGGGTTTTATTCATCAGCTCCTAGAAGGAGAGAGAAATCAGGGGACATTTAAGAGGATAGGGTTTCTTACATTCTTTCTGAGTATATGCAAAGGGATGCATACATGCTTTAAGTGTCATTGCTACTCAAACTTTACATGGCAGATGATTATATTCCCAAATTTGTTATTCAAGGCTTGGTACAGATGTTAGAACTATCTCACTTTAAGCAGGCAGAAAGTGCTCTAAATCCACAACTGAACAAACATTCATGGCTCTTAGAGTGCTTAAAAAATGATGGATTGCACTCTCAGTTAACTCTAGATGGTATTAAAGTGCTATCTGTTAGAGCGTTTTATCAAACATCTGTGCCAAATCCCATCAAGGATTAACTTAGAATGCGATTGGGATCCTGGTTTTCTCCATTTAAAAATTGAAAATTCTCTGATTAAACCTTCGCAAATCTGTGTTTTTCCATGATTAAAATGAAATGTCACTATATATGCAGGTACCAGTTGAACACAATGCCTTATTGATATATTTACAATTTTAAAGCAGTTTGGAAGCCTACCAGTGCCTCCATCATTATAGTAAAATAAACTCTAAATACCTGTACATTTTGGTGTTTTACTTTGGGTTTTTTACCATGGAAAATCAGAGCTCCCCCTGCCCGCTTTGCTCACCAGGATGTAGGCCCAGCTGCAGCTGCCCCTGCCTTCTCTGCTTTGAGGCACTGAGCAGTACTGATATGCAGATGCCTTGCCCTTGCTCATGCCCATGGTGGTGCACCTCACTCCCAAACCACAGCCCCCCAGCCCTACCAGTGACCCTCACTCCTGATCCACAGCCCATTCCTTCCCCCCCCCCCAGACTTACCTGCAGGGAGCTGCAGGAGCTGCTCTCCACCACTGCCTAGCTACCATATGCACGTGCCCCCTCCCTGATCACCATCCTCTGGTTCCCCGCAGCCCTCCCTGGAACTCTGCCAGTCTGCATTGGAAAACCCATGTTTCACATGCATTTCTCCTTTAAAGGGGAAAATCCATGTTTTTCCAAAGCAAACAGAAAACCCAGATCCCTAGCTATCACCATCCCATGTGGCATTGTGCAGGGCTGCACTCTAGCCTTGGGCAGAGCTCCTGTGCTCTGCCTGAGTGCCAGGTTGGCTCTGGCCCCTCAGCTGTCACTGATCTGAGTCAGTGACAACCTCTGATCCCAGCCCCATGCACAATCTGGCCTGAGGAGGGGAGTGGAAGGAGGGTTTCTGTACTCACAAATGTTGCAGCCCTACCATACACTGCAACCCAGCGGGGGGGAGGAGGAATGCAGGGGAAGGAATCCAGGATCTCTCTCCCAGCATCCACTTGGGCCAGGTCTGTGCAAGAGAGAGGCTCCATTTCCCCAGGCTCCTGGTTGCAGCTGGGGAAATGGAGCCTCTGTGCTGTGCAAACCTGGCCCATGCCTGCAAGCCTACAGGGGAGAATCCACATGGCAAAGAGGCTCTGTTTCCCCAGCTGCAGCCAGGAGCCTAGGGAACTGGAGCCTCTCTACCACACAAATACCTCCCCCAACCCCCCCAAAGCTTGTGGGCACAGGTCTTGGTTGGGAGCTTGCTTGGGTCCACAGGGCAGAGAGGCTCCATTTTCTGCACACACACCCCTTTCCCCACAGCAATGACAGCAGCCAGTTGGCAGGGGGTTGGGACTGGGAAGAGGGCCCCCCCTAGCTGCTCAGGGATGGCCAGGTGCTCAGCTGCTCCCACAGACTCCTGGGAGGTATGTGGGAACACCCTCAGGCTGCTGGCTGCAGCCTGTGCAGTCAGGATCCAAGCTTCCCCCACCGAATAACACCTGTGTGTTCAGTTCTGTCCTGACATAGTCCAGAGCGCTTTGAATAAAGTGCTACACTTAAAGCACTTCCATCTTGGGTTTCTTCAATGTCTGTACTTAGCCCTAACATTTTTAGTTCCTAATAATTATTTATTTTCTGAAAGTAGTCTAATATTATAAAAGGCTAAGTCTGTCTGTCTGTCTGCCTGTCTGTCTGCCTGTAACGCTTTATTCGTGCTCTGATTGGCTGACAAACAGCCAATCAGAGTGCGAAGAAGCATTCTGACAAAAGGCAGCCTGCTGCCATGACGGTGGGGGCACAGGGGACACAACTGGCCTCGACCCCCCCACCCCCCGCCCTGCTTCCTGGGGGTGGTGGCAACAAAGCAGATGGAAATGGGGGGTGAGGCCAACCCCGCACCCTGTTCCCTGCAGGTAATGTGGCGGGGGGAGTGAGTCCAGGCCAAATGCGACCTGAGTTGGGGAAAAGCCGGCCTGCCATGGCAGGGGGGCAGAACAGACAGAGCCATGGAAGCAGCTCGGGGAGGGAAGAAGTAGGCCTCCTCCCCCCCTTGGGCTCAGGCCCACTCCTCCCACACACTCCTCCCCCGCATTGGCCCCAAGCCCCTCCTCCCATCCCTGAGTGGACCCGACTGGGGCAGGGGAGAAGCGGATGCAACATGGCATTGAGAGTGACAGTGGGGCCAGGGGAGGACTGGGCCCGGGCCTGACATTGGGGGAGAGTGAGCCTGAGCAGGGGGAAAAGCTGGCCCGCTACAGCAGTGCGGGGGGGGACAGCAGAGTGGGCCCGGCCCAGCCCAACACGGCAGCTGCGGGGGATGAGGAGAAGCAAGCCTCCTCCCCAACATTGGCCCCCGCTCCTCTGCATCAGTCCCAAGCCCGCTCCTCCCATCCCCCTATCACCGCCCGGTCGTCCCGGGCCAGCTGCTCCCCACCCTGCAATGGCAGCCTGGTTTCTCCCCACCTTCAGGCCCACTCGTGCCCCGCTTCCGGTCTGGGCCCACTCCTCCCTTCCGCCCACCACTATGGCGGGGG